ATGAAGATTTTCGGATCAGTTCAGTCATCAAATCGATAATTGTAATGTTGCCGGAATTAAATGCAACATTTGGTTAGAAATGTCATGTGCCATGCTAGGCCTTCTCATGACATGCATATTGACATGTATACCTGCCCAGGTACTCATATATATACGCCAGTCTGTATATGTTTAGTTAACCGAGGAGTACACGTAGATATACCTTGCTGAAAGGCGCATTAGTAATTGATTGATATTATCGGCTTCAGCATTGTTCGAGGACTGTACCCGTAGATACGAGATTATACTACATTGCTGACTAATATAGCTATATTGAAGGAGGATGGTTATATTATTTATTCAACACCCAGTAATATGCACTGCCTCTAAGACCCACGATTGCATCGACGAGAATAAACTAAACAGTTTTATGTAATGCCAATATGCAATAAGTACTATATTATTATAGTATTATTATCTCTAATCCTTTCTGTATGGAAATACCCAAGCACCCCTACAGGTAATGGAATGGTATTCACTGTTAGTGGTTGTCATTCTAACTCCAGACTCGAGTTGTCTTGTACTTGTGGTTTAATTTCAATCGTTACATACTAAAGAAAGAATTTGACCTTAGAAACTTGGTCAGGGAATCGACTAATCTATTTTGACCACATACCTCGTCTAATGAGTGCGTATCCACTAATTGCCCGCAAAACAAACGTAATATCTCACGCGTTGTGGCCTAGCTTCGCGTTCAATATGGCGGCGATCTGTTTTGTTTCCTATCACAACAATGTTGTGCTTGAGTATATCGATAAACAGTGTTGAAGGCAACGGGTACCGTGTATATGTGAGTGGTTTCATTCATTCACCTTGAATGTGATCTATTCACTGTCATGATCAGGCTTGCATGTCCTAACGCAGTCGGCGAGACTGCTTCGTGGGGGTGTCTATAGTCGGGATTACACGGGGTGGGTGTGTTAAAGGGAGGGTGGGAGAGCGGTGCTAGGTGGGTTTGGGTGTATGATTACGATTGGCTTAAACGAGGAGTAAGATCGAGATTAAGACGGGTTAAAGAATGGGTTGGGGCGGGAAATTGGTGAACACGGAGAGGGTGTTCTAAGTTGTATAACTTGTACCCAATCCTTTTCTCATGAATAAAATATGTTTAAAACAAAACAAACAATTGGTGAACGATCGTAAGGGTGGGGCGGGATATTGGGGGGCGGTAGATTGGTAAACTATCGTAGGGTTGGAGCGGGATGTTGGTAAACGATCGTAAGGGTTGGGGGCAGGAAATTGGTAAACTATCGTAAGGGTTGGAGCAGGATATTGGTAAAGCTATCATGTAAGGGTTGGAGCCAGGATATTGGTAGAAACGATCGTAAGGGTTGGGGGCAGGAAATTGAGTAAACTATCGTAAGGGTTGGAGCGGGATATTGGTAAACTATCGTAAGGGTTGGAGCAGGATATTGGTAAACTATCGTAGAGGTTTTGAGCGGGATATTAGTAAACTATCGTAGTAAGGGTTGGAGCGGGATATTGGTAAACTATCGTAAAGGTTTTGAGCGGGATATTGGTAAACGATCGTAAGGGGTTGGGGCAGGATATTGGTAAACTATCGTATTAGGGGTGGAGCCGGGATATTGAAGTAAACGATCGTAAAGGGTTTGGAGCGGGATATTGGTAAACGATCGTAAGGGTTAGGGACAGGAAATTGGTAAGAAGACTATCATTAGAGTAGGAGCATGTCCATTATCCAACCTCTGAATCAGAAATTAAATGATAGTGGCAAGTGATAAATTGACGTTCAATTAGAAGTTTGCGTAATTTACTGAGTTAATATTGAAAAACAAACATTTATGTTTATTGAAAAGATATATTAAGCGTGACATTGGGAGGCCCTAGACTACGACGCTAGAACTTGGACATTATTACGTTAACATACTCATACCTTCGGTACTTAGTTACTTTGGGTGATTGTTCAGTCATTTCATGTATTTGGAACCAGGCTGAGTCAATATTTTCCTCCATATCCGATCAAACACCTCAAAAGAAATCGCCGAGTCAAACATAATGACAGTTTGAGACGACATGTTTGTTTTACCTTTGTATGCCAGAGGTTAATGAGTGCAATATATTCCCTACGCACCATTGAACTGGCTCTCAGAAGTGGTTGTTAGAATATTTCACTTCTAATTTTTTAGTAACATTAATCAAAGAGCAGGCATACTTACATGTGATGGTAGAATGGTAAATCATCGTAAAGTGTAGGAGCTGGATATTGGTAAACTATCGTAAATGTAGAGGAGTTGGATACATGTATTTGTAAACTATTTAAGTGTAGGAGTTGTAAATTAATAATAAACGATCGTAAAGTGTTGGGGCAGGATATTAGTATTAAGCTATCGTAAGGATTGGAGATGGATGTTAGTGTAAAGCTATCGTAAGAAGTGAATGCGCTGGATATGAGTAAACCATCATTAGGATAGGAGCTGGACTATCAGTAAAAAATTAAAAGGGTAGGAGCTGGATATCGGTAAAACATCCTTAAGGGTAGGAGCTGGATATCAGTAAAACCATCAAAGGGTAGGAGCTGGATATCGGTAAACCATCCAAAAGGGTAGGAGCTGGATATCAGTAAAGCCATCAAAAAGGGTAGGAGCTGGATATCGGTAAAACATCAAAGGGGTAGGAGCTGGATATCGGTAAAACATCAAAAGGGTAGGAGCTGGATATCGGTAAAACATCATAGGGTAGGAGCTGGATATCGGTAAAACATCAAAAGGGTAGGAGCTGGATATCGGTAAAACATCAAAAGGGTAGGAGCTGGTTATCGGTAAAACATCATAAGGGTAGGAGCTGGATATCGGTAAACATCATAAGGGTAAGAGCTCGTTATTGGTAAACTATCGTAAGGGTTGGAGCTATATATTGGTAAACGATCCTAAATGTAGGAGCGGGATATTGGTAAATCATCGTTAGTGTAGGAGCGGGATATTGGCGAACAATCGTAATGGTAGAAGCTGGATATTGGTAAACCATCGTAAGTGTAGGAGCGTGATATTGGTAAACCATCGTAAGTGTAGGAGCGGGTGATAGGTAAACCATCGTAAGTGTAGGAGCGGGATATTGGTAAACCAATCGTAAGGTTTGGAGCATTGAAAAAGAGAACCTTTAGAGTCAGAAAAGAAGGAGATGGGACAACTCGCCAAAAACTTTATCCAGGCAACTTGTCTTAAAAGGGACATTTCACTCTTTTATAGACCAACGCATTTGCTTTTTTCTGTGACTCATGTTCCCTCGCTAACTATTGTCGGGCATTACTGATGTTAAAAAGATTTATCCCTTCCTTCCTCAGAGAATGCTTCTATGTTGGCCTTGTTCATGTATACTTTGGGTACGGAACGTGCAGGCGTACCTCAAATATTATGCCATTCTCGTCATAAGGAAATGTCCGCCAAAACATAATGCAATTCCAAAGAACATAAACCAAAGTATTGTGGCCTTACGTACGCAAATACATTGTCTTGGCCACCAGTCTACTTATTATTACGCGAGTGCCAGAGATCAGTCTCTGCATTCACTGCTCCGACAGTCACTATCACTCCCGTCTCGCGGACAAATTGTGCAAAATTGTCTTATATGCTCTATCCATAATTCCAATAATATTTATCAGACAAACATATGTATCACCCGGCCGCTGAAATCTGTTTGTTTGCTAAGTCTGGATCGCATCGACCTACTGGAAGCGTGACCCGTCGCCTGCAGCAGGGTAACCGTCATGTTGAAGTGGAAGAGCATCGCCACTCTGGGGTGACATAAAGCGTTTATTTCCCAGGAACTGGTAGGGACAATTATTCCGAAAAACTCAGCAGAGAGCAATTACGGTCATATTACGTAGATCAAAGGATGGCAGTCTATCACCTAATGCTAGTTCGGCTAGCTCGTTACTCCCTCGTCAGATCCTGTCGATGTCGTATTGAGAAAGAGTATATATAGTAGTAGTGTATAGGCATTGTGTGTGAGCTGACGATGCAGTAGGCTCACACCCTCAACGTCGCTCGATAGTGTTTATTTTCCAAATATCACAGCTGATCTAAGGAGTTAAACAGCTTTGAAAATTCATAGCAATGATGTCGTCCGTAAATAATATTGAATTTGGTAGTTCTCACACTCCGTGGTCGTGTTATCGATTCCAATATCATCAAAATGGGAATACTGTATGTGAAAGGCATGTTGCTCCCCAGAACAAGTTTTCAATCGCGAAAAATGATTCGACTGGAAGAAAATAATCATCTGCCTCTGTCCGTGATTATTTTGACATTTTGGAAATGAATTGAAGCTTCCTCTGTCGTGGTGCCAATTAGTGGAGTTAGTAGGATAATTACTGGATTAATTCGCAGGCTTTCGGCGATATCCTGAAAAGCAATTTATCATAGCGATGGTGGACAAGAATATCACGAATCACGTAATTCAGAGAGATAAATTGATCGATTGCTGGTTGGACATCTCGTAAGCCGGGCGAGCTGGTACAGAGTGGAGTGTCTAGACATCTTTCACAAGATATCACAACGAAGCGTTTCTTTGTTAATACGCTAATGACTGAGGAAGTCACACATATTTTACCTTTTGGCGGTAATTATCCGGACGGGACCAGCCTGTGAATAATGAGACCCTAAGTGAGTGCCACTCGATGAAAATGCGGAGGCATTTTAGGCAGCCATGGTCTCTTTGTGATAAATAACTTCTCTCATGAACGATTATATAAGCCGGTACTTTGAGGTATTTACGAATGGGACACATGCTTCAGCGCAACAGTGAGAAATAGCATTTTGCCTAATCTTCACACGGTTCGCGATAGTTTGCCTCGAAAGAATATACTCATGCGAACTGGGTCCTATCGGACTCGATCCCATGAAAGAAATCCTGTACAGGCATAATGAATATTGATTACATTACAGAGTTACCTCCTTCGAATGTATACCCGGAAGTGTCAAAATATTCCGGAGATCTAAACTATGGCGTCGAGGGAGTTACTGGCCCTCAGACATGAACACTTCAACACTATCTATAAACCTATGTCCGATGTTCCTGGTAATCCGGATCACTGTGTAAGTATACACAGCGGTGTTTAGATAAATGTTCATTTATTGATCTTGTCTTAGTCTCATTAACATGCTGCACATTCAGTTGATTTGGTGACACTTCGCCAGCGAATTGTACAACGGAGTTTCTTCAAAGCCTAATTTCGCAATATTACTTACATGTACGTTGGTTTTATTTACAGATATTACTCACAGTGCGGAAGCTTTAGAAATATTCAGAAATTGATAAAACGTGGTTTATTTGTTTGTTCATGACATTTATTTATGTCTTCAACATGTTCAAAAATTTGTTTAGATTCAGATTTATTATTTGGTCTTTGATCTATACCAGATACTTGTTCGTAATCATTCGTTTTTCTGGAAGTAAATATAAATATTTAACCAGTATGTGTTACGAGTCATGCATTTAACAAATTTAGCAGACGAGTACATTTTTCTTAAATGTCTTACGGTCTCTGAGGAAAAGGAATGCATCAATTTCATAGTTACTATAGTAACGGTTTTCCCGAAAATTCATCAAAATTAGATGTAATACTACCAGTGGTATCAATGTTGTAATTTCACTGAACATGCTCAGTCAGCTGATGATCTGGGTGCCGTTGTACAAAAGTGATCTTATCGCTAAGGTGACCGTAACTCCCATACTTTAACATAGACTTATGGTAGCCTTAAGCGCTAAGGTTGTTTTGTACAAGGGCACCCTATTATAAAAATGTCACACATGGATAATCATTCGTCAGGATATGTTTATGTGCGTTGTTCCACTGGTGCAGGTTTTGAGCCACCCATGCGGGGTGGGGAATTTGTTGAATGAATGTTTGATCGGCATTCAAGAAGCTGGGGAGTGGGTAATAAAGCATACAGTTTTATTGATAATAACTTCTTGTTTATTGCATAGAGCTACATTTCAATGTAGATTCTTACACCGTTAATAGGCGTTATCAAGCTAAACCATACTGACACCTTAAGGAGAAGGAAGTATTTGGTCAAGTGGTTGTACTTCCTGTGTTATCAGGACAACACATCCATGGTTACAATGAAGTAGGGACTATTTCTTTTTATCAGGGCCCAGGTTTTAACTTGTGTCATCATGTGGGATTGATATGCGTTATATGGGCCCCTGATGGCACAAGGGCACTGACCAAAATAATCCCTGTGCTATTGATCATAGAGAATTATAATCTATAATAATTATAAGTAATTAAGCAGAGGTACAGATAAGCTGCATATCTGCATAAATTATGCAAATATTTATGTGAAAACTCAATTCCTATTAAGTCTACTGCACACAAGTACGCTTGAATTTTGTAAATACCTGGTAAATTTCATCTTATATGCGTACACACAAACTGGATAAAGATATATTGAGAGGTTCTATTTCAGCATATGAACTTGCAGTCTTTCTTATCGTTTCTCATATTACAGATCAAATATAAATAACAAACATGTAAACCAACATTTGAACTTTATTATGTTTCTACAATTAATGGAAAATGGAAAAATACCCAATTGAGTTTGAGCGAGGTGGGTAAAATTTATTTGGTTACTCAAAGGAAAATTAGGATACCCAATTGAGATGAAGACAAGGGAGTACATAACTCAATGACCCTAAAACTAAAAGTTATATGTACCTCAGAATTTTGTCATTCAATTATCAAGATATACTGGAAAAGTAACTCAGTATTTCGTTATTGCTTAACTGAATATTATAGATAATACATCAACTGCTGATTTGTATTTGTGGCACAATATTTATACTCGTCACCCAATACTTATGGTACGTGTATGTATGTAACAAGGGCATGGAGAGCCTGTAAGTACACAATGTGGGAGTTCTAGAGTGAAAAGTCTTCACAGGCGAGGCCAATAGTATAGATAGGGATAAACAAAAGGATGATGCTTGTCTGTCTCTTTAGCAGGCTAGCTCTTCTCTTCTCTGGCTAGCAGTTCCTTGTTTTATAAACAATGATAAACTGATCACAAATATTGCAGATTGTTGATGGGGAGATATCTACACTTTCTTGGTGATGCTCTGTATTCTCAGGGGTGGAGGGGTAGCCTAATGGTTAAAAGTTCTAGAAGTTGAGGAGTTGAAGAATGAGAACAATTTTATGGATATACAACTTCTTTATTCTGTGTAGGCGACGTTTCACCATTTGCTTGACAACGACATTAGAATCTATGTTGAAACGTCGCCAAGACATAATATAGAAGTTGTATATCCATAAAATTGTTCTCATTCTTCAATTTTTAAAGATTTTCTTGGCAAGGTCAAATCTCAGTAACTAGAAATTTGGAATGGTATTTGAAATTATTGCAGTTGTATTCAAATTGAGATTTGGAGAACACAGAGAAGAGTCCCAGAAAATTTCCTGACAAAACATGGCTGCAAAAAAGTGGACGTGTACAGTGTTTCAAGCTGTATTTTTATACAGATCTCTCTCCACCTGTTTTATTATTCATACTACAGACGTGCTGGACATAAACCGATCCATATATTCCTGGATCCAGGCTATTCATAGACAATAATAATGTTGGTTAGTCAATAAATATATATTCTTTTCAGTCCCCTTGGCCATTGAGATGGGAATAATCGTATTTCTATGAATTTGTAAGCATGTATTGATCCCTCTGTCATAACTCTCAAAGATCTGATTATTTTACCAGGTAATGTTGTCACTTGTTTGTTCTTTATTAACATTATGGCAAAATCAATACCACTACGGTGGTGTTAATGATACTTATGATGATGATGATGATGGTTCTTATCAACACTTTGGCTAAATCAGTACAACTATGTTGGTGTCAAGGATACTTTGGATGGATCACTGTTCACCCAATGTTCATTCTCACTGATCTCAGTTCCATGGGTAGTATACTGTTGCAGGGAAGAATTGTGTCCCTTAGTCATGACAGGATCTGCTAGGTTTATATTCCATAATACTCCTTCAATAGTCCCACACTTGCTTGGGACCGCCTCCGTGGTGTAGTGGTTAGAGCGCCCCGCCCGGAGTGCGGAAGGTCGCTGGTTCGATCTCCGACCGCGTCATACCAAAAGACGTTAAAATATGGTACTTGTTGGTCCCTGCCTGGCGCTCGGCATTAATTGGTACAACAAGGACTGGTCGGCTCGGAGTCGGTATACTGTGTCTAAGTGGGGTATTCATGCTTCACTGCGGCATGGTATCTCAGTGGGCTAGCACTATAAAACCAGCTTCAGTCTGGGCTAGTACAAGCAGCCGCACATACACACGCATGCACGTCGTCATATGAGCGAAATATTCTCAAGCACGTCGTGAAACCCAATTTCACCTCACCTCACCTCACACTTGCTTGGGCTTGATTATGAATATTTTGGGGGATATGGATACACACGATGCAAATATTCCCTCTCTTCAAACCACACGCACTCCAGCCCCAGCCCCCCACACTCACCCATCTGAAATATTCACGATCCCAATTTTTTCTGTTCAGTGTATAAGTTATAACTTTGAGAGTACTGTGTATGTTAAACAAATGTGCTATATGTCATAAGGAACAATCAGTAATAAACATAATATTAATATTGATTTCTAACAACAGCGTCCATGCATGACATTTTGCAATCAATTTGAGAATAATTAGCATTGATTTGATTGTGTGGCTCACAGCCCAGGCAGTTGTGCACTTGTGATCAAGGAAATAGTTGGTCACACTTCACTGAGCAGACAGAGCTAGTTGTCTGGAAATTGATCTTCTCCTTACTGTAATGCGTACAGATCTGCTGATAAACTGCGTATTTGTGTAAAATGTACGAAGTTGACTACAATTTCCCAGTAATGTTGAGTTGTTTGAGTACAAGCCTGAAACATTCTTCAACCAATCAGTCAATCCCTCATGGATTCTGCAGCAAATTTTTAAGAATTCTGCAGCAAATTTAAGTAAATTCTGCATCCTACTTTTCAAAATTCTGCAACAACTTCTGCAGTTAAATTCTTGAAAAAAAAAAAAATGATAAAGAATTTCAAATTTTGATTCTTAAACACAAAGCTGTAACTGTTTAGAGCTTCATGAAATTCAAGGTACAGCCGGCAGTTCATTTTTCTTGCAAGGTGTTTTTTAGATTTAGAAAGATGACCTGAATCAGTAGTCTTATGAGTGTGATCAGGAATGACATTACAAACTCTACAAAATATCATTTAGTTTTGATAGTCAATCTTGATTCAACTTTTAAAAATAAGTAAATTCCTAGGCAGAAAATGCCAAATTTTGCAGGTACTCTGCATTTTCTGCAGACCAGCCATTTTTCTGCATTAAGAGGTAATTTCTGCGATTAATTCTGCAACCGCAGAATCCAGGAGGGACTGAAAAGTGTACCTTTTTTTAAATGTAATTACCTGTGTGTTTTTTTCAGCTGTCATACCTTTTGTAACAATGTTTTTCGACTGATTTACTGATTAAATTTAAGTCACTCTGAGCTTGTTTGACCCTCTTGAGAGCACATGCAAATTGGAAGAAACCTGACACAGAATTTTTAACTTTTGTGATAATATCTACTGACAGTTTTAAGAATCATCGTTAGATTGGCTGAACATACTCAATTGAGAAATGTTTTTGAAAACTGAAATCAGGGCTCCAGATAAGGGCTAATCGGCGTATGTACGGATGATAAATATGCATGATACTGTAGGAAATATTTTAGAAAACGTAGCAGAAACGCACTGCAGCAATGGTATACGTTCTTAGAATCATTTACAGACATATTTATCTGAAAAAAAGTTTTGTTGTTTATTGACCTGTTTACACAATAGTAGCAATGTTGTGGTGCATATATGAAACGAAACACAAGATCACATACTCTATGAAATTCCATTCAGTAACATTCCATATATTTAAAAAATAAGGAGTACATACTCCTGATGTTGAAAAATATCTGGAGCCCTGCTGAAATTATGTTTTACAACAAAAGAAATAGTTTAAGTCTTCAGAGTTAAGCATATAAGGTAACAGTTCCATGTCATAACTCTGATGTTGAAAATGATAGAATCATTACCACGAAATAGTTTTTCTCAATATTATTTATATGGCAGCCATAATTTAGTGGAAATAATCGAGTCTGGACCAGCCTGAGAATGATGGAAATTTAAAAGCTGCATAAATACGAGGTCACCCTAAATGATTGGAAGGGATCCAAGAACCTCAGGCAACCCCTTTTTTAAAAAAAATGGTCGTTATCTTTAAATGTTAATGTGTTTTGGGGAGTTGGAAAAGAGTACAATTAGTGATAATAGCCGTCAGCAGGTGCATCTGCCCAAGACTGTTTCCGTCATTACAACAAGGGGAGATGAGTGTAGAAAAAACCTGTGTCCCATAGGATTCATGCAAGTTGTGCAGTGAAGTAAACTTGATTAAACTGTAGTAGTGGTTTAATTCAGTACACAAGGGCACTGTTACAGGTAAACATGATAATTAATGACAAGGGTTACTGGTAATTACTGCCGTTCGCATGCAAGTACTACTGTATCATACTCGTTATTACCACAGCTAATCAGTGGTTAATACAGTTATCATGGTTATCTTACCTGTGATTACTGCAGTTATTTTACTTGTGATTACTAGGTAGAATGTGTTGCCTTTACCTGTGATTACTACATTTATCTTACTGCAGCTCCTTTACCTGTGATTTCTACATATATATCTTATTTGTGATCCCCCACAGTTATTTTTCCTTAGATTACAACAGCTATCTTACCTGTTATTTACTACAGCTATCTTACCAGTGATTACTACAACTATCTTACCTGTGATTACTACAGCTATCTTACCAGTGATTACTACAGCTATCATACTTGTGATTACTGCAACTATCTTACCAGTGATTACTAGTAGTAATACTACAGCTATCTTACCTGTGATTACTACAGCTATCTGACTGTGATTACTACAGCTATCGTACCTGTGATTGCTTCATTTATTTTACCCGTGAGTCGTGTGATTGCAACAGTTATTTACCTGTCATTGCAACAGTTATTTTGCCTGTGATTGCTACAGTTATTTACCTGTCATTGCAACAGTTATTTTACCTGTGATTGCAACAGCTATTTTACCTGTGATTGGAACAGTTATTTACCTGTGATTGCTACTGTAATATTTCTGAGTGTGGTTGTTAAACATTAAACAACAAAACTGTCATGCGAGCAGTATCATGGACCATCTAGATGACTGATCTCATGTATGTTTTATGTCTATGCAGGATACTGTGGTTCTGGTGAGGAAAGTGGCAGCATCCTTCTCGTTCATCGGATGGTGAGTCCTTTACAATGTTTACTTCTGAGGCTTGACTGAAATATCAAAGCAACTCTTTACAATTGCATTCTTAGGGACAATATAAATTGTTCACTGGTCACGAGGGGGACATGGGCTGATGTATCCTCGATGTTGGTTTATGTTCCCTGAGCCCGAGGGACTAGGGAACAAAGTATTAATCTTACCGAACACCTCAATGGTAATTTTGAACTGTTTGAAGCACAGGGTATCGGATCATAGTATGGAGTACCAGACGACAAGACAAGAAAAATAACTTTAGAGTTATCTCCCTTCCATCGATTTGCATTCGCAAAACATTGGCAATTTCCGTACATCATACGTGATTTAATGTTATTTGAGATAAAGAATTACCAAATGAATTTGCCATTCCCATTGGGGTACATAGAAAATGTTACTCGCTTGTAAGCGGGGTACATTTCAAATAATAGAAGAGCGCTCAGCCATTCAGAAAACGACATTTATGTGTGAGGCAAGATAAACTATGCGATATCTTTTGGGGGGACTAGGGGAAATACACATTTGTGAAATTGAGAACTATTTTTTGTGCGTGTTTTTCTTTTCAAAGACGCAGTTCGCCCACCCCTTTTCCCACCCAAACTTTAATTTGTGAGAATTAGTTTTTGCGACAATAATTAAACTGTGTCCAGTAAAGTTAAGAGGGTCTGGTCGGTTGTTAGATAATGGTCATCTCCTCAATATGTGCTAAGTTGGTTTGGGTCCAGATTCTATGACTGGCGTGAAGTGCTAAGACATGATAACAATTGCTTTTCTGCTGGACAGTCCAGCAATTATCACAACTGGTCAGACTTTGTCCCCTGACTCCTGTGTTGTTACAGGCTTAGGGATGGTCAGCTTTATCATGTCTCGGTCAGCTGGATCAATATGGACAGGCTTTACATTATCATAAAACTCACTTGATGTCTTGAAGTATCTCACCGATTCCTCAAAATAGAGAAATTCTCACCGATTCCACAAACTAGAGAAATTCTCACCGATTCCTCAAAATAGAGAAATTCTCACTGATTCCACAAAATAGAGAAATTTTCATTGATTCCACAAAATAGAGAAATTCTCACCGATTCCACAAAATAGAGAAATTCTTACCGATTCCACAAAATAGAGAAATGGTATGATTGTATTTATCCCTATTGTAGCATATACCAAGCACATCACTTGCTGTGCCTGAATTTTTATGGACTATGTGAAGCCACAATTTTCATGATTTTTGTTTTTTGGGGGAAACAGACAAAGAAACAAATAAAAATTATGTTGCTAAATATTTTGTCATTTTGAGGTGGAAATAATATAAAATAACTTTTCTGATTACTAAAATTTCATTTAAATTGTTTTGTGTTGAAATGAGTGAGTGAGTTAAGTTTTATGCAGTTTTTAGCAATATTCCAACAATGTCAGGGCACAAGAAATGGCCTTCACAGATTGCATCCATGTGGGGAATCGAACCTTGATCTTCTGAGTGATGTGCGAATGCTTTAACCAATAGGCTACCACCTGCCCCTGAGTGAGTGAGTTTAGTTTTACACCGCACTCAACAATATTCAAGCAATATGGGGACAGCCAGTAATTTGTAAATAATCAAGACTGGACAGACAATGCAGCAATCAACAGCATGAGCATCGATCTACACAACTGGGATATGATGACATGTGTCAACCAAGTCAGCGAGCCTGACCACCTGATCCTGTTAGTCTGTTGAAATAAGTGAGTGAGTGAGTGAGTTTTGCACCGCTTTTAGCAATATTCCAGCAATATCACAGAGGAGCACACCAGAAATAGGCTTCACTTGTACCCATGTGGGGCATCGAACCCAGTCTTCTATGTGACGAGCGAATGCATTAACCACTGACCTACCCCACCCCCCCTTGCTGAAATGAGGATTCACTTGGGATGGTTTTAAGCAAATCTTGAAGCGATGTAGACCTGATAGACCGATAAAAGTTACTGCCATTTGAAAAGACATATCTACACATTAGCATGATTAGGCAGAAAATAGTGACATTCATGTGTCTCATAAGTCCATGCACATTAATTCGGAAAATTTAGAAGTTACCTTTTTAACTGAAGAAATTGTTTTGTGGAGAAAATTTCATAAACCAACCAAATAAAAACTATTTACATCCCTTCCTATAAATTGTGTTGATTGTTATCTTGTTATCTGCAGCCTCTTCATGATCTTCGTCATCTGGCTCTTCAAGAAATACATCGTGTTTACACAGGTAGAGTGACCAACATGTTTCTGGTTGAAATCAAACCAACAAAGCTAATAACATATAGCGTTGATTATTGTGACATGAATCACAGGAATGTTCAGTATTTGTACTCTTCCAGGCTGAAATGCTTACATCCTTTAACTTGAAGATATTTTTTATACCAGTATTGTTATTGTTTTGACTGAAAGGTCATACATGACTCTATTTGTTCTCGTGACTCTTTATATACAAATATCTTCAGCAAATCATCACTCCCAGTTTTCTTGGATAAAACCTGGATCGCAGGCATGTGTTTGAGACTCCATGAGTTACCTCCCTTTTAAACCAAGATGTCTTCTGTTGCAGAGGCTGATCTTGTACCTGAGTATCAGTGCACTATTGGACAGCATCTCCTATCTTATGGTAAGTGGTGTCTTCTCAAGACACTGGGACTTTCCAAGTTGCTGATGTAAAAGTGTAACTTCAGCTCTAGGCCAGTAGCTCTAGTTTGGGAGATTTCCATCGCCATTTTAACACAAGAATTGGGTACTGGGAACCTTCTACCAGATTCTCATCCTTTAACTTGTTTGCTTGCATAGTGTTCGACTACTAACATTACAAATGTCAGTCCAGATGCATGTTCTGTTGGCTGTTCCACATCTAACCCGACTAACTGATCTGTCTTTCTTCATCCATCTGATGCTTTCAGGAACACACAGAGGTTTGTAGTTGTTAATTGTGTGCCCCACACCTTGATCCACCCTCCCCAGTGTGCCCCCAAACAACACCCCCTTCCACATGCACCAATCATCCACCCACCCAGTGTGCCCCAAACAACAAAAACACACAACCCCCCCCCACCCACCACCATGCCACCACCACATGCCCCAGTCATCCACCCACCCCAGTGTGCCCCCAAAGAACACCTCCCCACCACATGCCCCATTCATCGGCCCATCCCAGTGTGCCCCCAAACACAAACCCCACCACCACATGCACCAGTCATCCACCCCACCCCAGTCCCCCCCCAAGCAACCTCCCACCCCCCATCCACATGCCCCAATCATCCACCCACTCAGTGTGTGCCCCAAAGAACACCTCCCACCACATGCCCCATTCATCCACCCACCCAAGTGTGCCCCCAAACAACACCCCCAACCTCCCACCACATGCCCCAGTCACCCTACAGCTCAGATAACATGCAGACATATGTGTACTGTGTTTAGTGTAAACGTATTCCTTGTAAGACAATTTCTACAGCTCAGATAACATGTAGTCATGTGTTCTGTGTCCAGTGTAAATGTATTCCTTGTAAGACAATTCCTACAGCTCAGATAACATCTAGTCATTTGTTCTGTGTCCAGTGTAAATGTATTCCTTGTAAAGATAACAATTCCCTTACAGCTCAGATAACATCTAGTCATTTGTTCTGTGTCCAGTGTAAATGTATTCCTTGTAAGACAATTCCTAGCTCAGATAACATGTAGCTCAGATTACATCTACAGCTCAGATATCATCTAGTCATGTGTTCTGTGTGTCCAGTGTAAACGTATTCCTTGTAAGACAATTCCTGCAGCTCAGATAACATCTAGTCATGTGTTCTGTGTCCAGTGTAAGCAGTATTCCTTGTAAGACAATTCCTACAGCTCAGATATAACATCTAGTCATGTGTTCTGTGTCCAGTGTAAATGTATTCCCTTGTAAGACAATTCCTGCAGCTCAGCTCAGATAACATCTAGTCATGTGTTCTGTGTCCAGTATAAACGTATTCCTTGTAAGACAATTCCTGCAGCTCAGATAACATGTAGTCATGTGTCCAGTGTAAACGTATTCCTTGTAAGACAATTCCTGCAGCTCAGATAACATGTAGTCATGTGTTCAGTGTAAACGTATTCCTTGTAAGACAATTCCTGCAGCTCAGATAACATGTAAGTCATATGTGTTTAATGTAAAAGTGTTCCTTGTAAGACAGTTCCTTCAGCTCAGATAACATGTAGTCATGTGTCCAGTGTAAACGTATTCCTTGTAAGACAATTCCTGCAGCTCAGATAACATCTAGTCATATGTGTTTAATGTAAAAGTGTTCCTTGTAAGACAGTTCCTTCAGCTCAGATAACATGCAGACATATGTGTACTGTGTTTAGTGTAAAAGTATTCCTTGTAAGACAATTCTTACAGCACAGATAACATCTAGTCATGTGTTCAGTGTAAACGTATTCCTTGTAAGACAATTCCTGCAGCTCAGATAACATGTAAGTCATATGTGTTTAATGTAAAAGTGTTCCTTGTAAGACAGTTCCTTCAGCTCAGATAACATCTAGTCATGTGTTCAGTGTAATGTATTCCTTGTAAGACAATTCTTACAGCTCTGATAACATAATTTGATAGATGTGTCAGGTATGAGGAATAAGCTACATATTCATATTCATCTTAGTGATCAATTTTAAACCATTTGTTTGTTAAATGAAATCATGAACAGTTGCCAAAATCTTGATTAACGGTTGTGGTTTCTTAGTAATGTCCATACAGTACAGAAGGGCAGTTAAATCCCATGGCATAGACTTATGTATTTGAACCCCTGGTCCTACAATTTGGACATATGAAGAAATAATGAGCAGTATCCTGGCATGTGTAAATGTATTCCTTATGAGACCACCTCTACAGCACCGTTAGCATCCACTTCCGTGAATTATTAACCATTCCAACACAACCGTTGGGGCATGCTGCTTTCTAAGACCCTGTACAGAAATTCCTTTCTTTCTGAAAAAACAGTCACCATGGTAATTTTCAGCCCTTGCTATTCTGTACCTGACAATGTTTTACATCAGGAAGAACGCAACATCTTTGAAGTCATATGTAATTATTGTTAACATTTTTTTTGTATTTTCAGAGTGACATGATTCCTGATAGTACTCTGTGTAACTTTCTTGGATGGTGGTTGACATTTTTTGGTAAGTTTTATTCTCCTATACATTATTCATTGCCGCCAATGCGAACATCATTGAATTCTGTATTCCAATCTTACATATATAAACTCTGCATCGTCTTAAAAGGTGGACCATGAAGATCTGTGTTAGAATTGGTCTTCAGCAACCCATCCTTGTCGGGTGATTAGGTCGCTGACTTGGTTGACACATGTCATATCCCAATAGCATAGATCTACGTTCATGCTATTGATCACTGGATTGTCTGGTCCAGATTTGATTATTTACAGACTGCCACCAGAAAGCTTCAATATTGGTAAGTGTGGCGTTAAATAATAAACAATCGAACTCAAAAAGGTGCTATATGTTTTCCTTGCTGATGTCATAAGTTTTATGTTGGTCTGTAAATAATTCCATGTTGACAATCCCGTGATTGATATAGTGAGCAACGAACCATGTTGTAGGGTTATAGTGACACACAATCGACCAAGTCACAGAACTGGATCACCCACTCCATTGTCTTAGGATCAGCATAGGCTGCTGGGGACAGGGCACCTTCCACACAGCGATCTTAGGGATATGGCATTGTAAGCCTATGTATGGGAGTTATAATCACCTTTGTGCTAAGATCGTTATGTGGATTGGAGCATGTTCTTACCTAAAACTTACTTTTAGCTTGAAAAAGGTGTAGGTATCTACACCGAAACGTCGCTTTATGCAATAAATAAGAAACAGTCATCCATAGAGTCGTATGCCTGAGTTACTGACTCACCAACTTCTAAAAAGGAGCTCAAACAATTGTTCTTTTTTTTTTTTAATCACTTTATTTCTTTTTGATGGGTACATAATTGTTGCATTTGTGGTACATAAATAAACAAAGTATGAACACGAGTGGTAGATAATCCGTAGGCTAGAAGAATACATTGTTATTGTAATTTATGTGAAGAGGTTATGGCAAGATGACTAAAAGGTGAAGAATTTACAGTGTGAAAAGACAGTACATTTGTCAGTTTCATACAGGTTGTGTAGGTAATTTTTAATCTAACAAACTGCGGATGTGAATTAGAACATCTCCTTGCATATATATATACTGAGTCAAAAAAGAAACTTCACAAAATGTAATTTGAAGAATAATGAATAATTTTTCTCTGATGATACATCTATGTATCCGAAATGGGATCCCTATCTTTCGACTCTAGAAAAACGTTAGCAAAACCCACTCAAACCCATCCATTCGTCGTGCGAATGACGTAAGTGCCAAATCAGGTTTTGCACGTGCAGTTGATCACGTGATCTTCGCATCGAAGTTTTCTTCATATGCACGTGTTTGCATTGGCCTCAAGAATTGAAAAAACACTTTTAAACCACAGTTCTAACGGTACTTGAAATGCCACGATTGCCAAATGTGCAACGTGAACGTGCCGTTGGCATGTTGCAAGCGGGAAGATCAGTTATTGACGTCGCAAGAGCAATGGGATGCAGCCATTGTACTGTGTATGACTTGTGAGGTCGTCTACAACAAACTGGCACCACTTCTGATCGCCCAAGGTCGGGTCGTCCACGTGTGACGTCACGAGCAGAAGACCGTCAAATCGTCCTACGTCACCTACGTGACAGATTTGTGCCGGCTACACGAACCAGGGCTGAGATGTTGAGAGGTCGACTGTTCTCACAGACCATTCGAAATCGGTTGCGGGCCGCAACGTCACCTCCGATGGACCCAGAGAGACTGGAATCGAGTCGTCTTTAGCGATGAATCCAGGTTTACCCTCAGATTTGCGGACAGCAGGCATAGAGTATGGGGACGACGTCGTGAACGGTATGCCCAATGTTTTGTACAGGAAGTCGACAGATTCGGGGGCGGAAGTTGCATGGTGTGGGGTGCTTTCTGTGGGAACAACCGTTCCCGACTTCTGGTCATCCGTGGAAACCTCACAGCTGCTGCTTACCGCGACCAGGTGCTCACCCCGGAACTCGTTCCTTTCATGGCGGCTCATGGCCCAGGTCTACAGTTCCAGCATGATAATGCTTCGGCCGCATACCGCGATGTTGACCACGAAATTTCCTTCAAAACACTGGAATCAACATCATGGACTGGCCATCGAGGTCCCCTGGCCTTAATCCAATAGAGCACGTTTGGGATGCACTTGGGAGAAGGCCGTGGTCTTAGGAACCAACCTCAGAATTTGCAGGAACTTGGCTGCCTTGCAAGAGCAATGGCGCCAGAATCCCCAACCACGTGTTCACAAGCATCAGGCAGTCGATGAGGAGACGGTGTTTGGCAGTGGTGACTGCACGGGCGGCCATGACCATACGATATTGAACTGAGAAATTTCGCATTTTTATTCTTGTGACTTGACATTCTGTATACCCATGTTTTGGAACGGCGATGTAGCCTAATGGAACTGATTATGGCACTGTCAGTGTATCGAGTACATCACACAGATCTCAGCATTGAAATAATAACAATTTAACCATCTTACCATCTCTTGTTCTTTTATAGTGCCCTGAAGAAAGAATGTGAAGTTTCTTTTTTGACTCAGTATATATAGTATTTTGTTGCGAAGATAATCAGGTTTAATACATCATTTCGTTTTTCTTTTTATCCAAAGATGATATGTTTTGCATCAAGAATTAATCTTGTGCTTGTATCTTGTTCAATCCAGGCTTTCAGTTGTTGCCACAACGTTTTCACATGTACACATTCACAAAATATGTGGATAATTGATTCAATTGTAAGGTTACAAAATGTACAAAAAGTCTCCATGATGTTCCTACATTATTAGATGATTCATAATCGAGATCCAGCACATTATGCCTCTTTATAGTTAGTTTCTGAGAACCTGGATTAGAATTGGTCCCCAGCGATGTTGCATTGCAGGAGCCTGCTGCAATCTTTTTCTTTAGAAAATACATCTTTTCCAAGTAGGTTCCAAAACAGATATGAGATGCTTCTGATTTTTATTGTCCTTTTATCGCTGTTTTTGAAAATAAAATGTTGGTGGATATGTTGACTTTTAAAAATACCCTCTCTCTCTCTCCAGACTGGACGGTGCTGCTGTGGGTGAGCTGCATCACCTTCAACCTCTTCATGAACGCGTCATCAGGACTACCACTACAGAGAAGTTTGAGTGGTATGTACTGTATGAGAGAGTGAGTGAACTGACTTTTACGTTATCTCAGCAATATTCCAGCTGTAAGGCAGCGGTCTGTAAATAATCGAGTCTGGACCAGACAATCCAGTGATCAACAGCATGTGCATCGATCTGCGCGCAATTGGGAAGCAGTGACATGTGTCAACGAAGTCAGTGAGCTTGACCACCCGATCCCGATAGTAAGCCTCTTCGACAAGCATGGGTTACTGAAGGCCAGTATTCTAACCCGGACCTTCACGGGTCATGTAACTGTGTGAGCTGGGTTAGACCGATTCAGTGGGGTTAGACTTGGCAGGGTCACACAGACTTGGCCGGAGTATTTTATGAAAATTATTGAAAAGTGATATCTCTCTCACATTGTTATCTACCTTGTATCTATAACTATAAAATCACAATGGCTGCTGATGTGAAGAAAATAGGATCTGCTTGAAGAATCAGTGTGAATCAGTGTAATTCACTTCAGAGCCCACTGCAATACAGTTGGTTTGTGAACACACTGTCCTACTACTGTAGGGTACCAGTCAGCTTGTAGCATGTTAATCCATTGTTGATTCTTTGGAACACGTCCCTGGTACCTATGTGGCCAGGTGCTGGAGTCTTGCTCTCGATAGAACATATGTCTTATCAGGGATATGACTACTTTGCAATTGTTTTTTTGTGAAATGTATTCATGGAAATTGGAAATCTATACCATTTTGCCAATTTTTCCCCCCAAATAATTGTTTGAAAACAATGGTCGAAATTTTTGTTTTGTTTTTTAACGTAATTCTATGACACTCTAAAAGTTTGTAATGTTTCTTCATTAACATATGGAAAGTTTACAGAGTGTTTTGTTTTATTTTCGGGGTGGTTTGGTAGCCTAGTAGTTAAAGCGTTCACTCATCACACCGAAGACCCAGGTTCGATTCCCCATATGGGTACGATATGTGAAGCCCATTTCTGGTGTCCCTCGATGTGATATTGCTGCAATATTGCTAAAAGTGGCATGAAAAGTAACTCACCCACTCACTCAGTTTTCCTATTTTTTCAGGGCCTACCATATTTTGTGCTGGGTGTTTTCGTTTGTGATGTCCTGCCTGCCTTTCATCAACGACCGCTATGGGCCTGCTGGAGCCTGGTGGTGAGTAGACAGCTCTCGGTGTCAGTAGCAACAGCTACGAGCCTGCTGTAGTAGGTAGACATATATCTGTCTGTTAATAATTAGGGACCGTTCATCATTTATAGCTAGGGCGGATGATGATAATTTTTATGGAGAAGCATGTACAATGTGAATGACACACACAGCCCCCCCCCAAAAAAAAAACAACAAAAAAAACAAAAATAAACTAAAAAAATAAATAAAAAATAAATAAATAATTTATGTACAAAGTAAGTGACTGCCCTGCATGTCATGTACAAAGTCAATGCCCCCTTCCATATTTTAAAATATTTTTATGTACAAAATTGATGCCCCACCCCAGAAACATGTGTACAAAATTGATGACCCCTACCACCCCAGAACAAAATGAGTGACAACAACAACAACAACACCACACCCCCCACCCCCCCCCCCCCCAAAAAAAAATCAATAAAAAAATCATCATCACCCCTAGCCATAAATTATGAATGGTCCCTTACTTACCACTTTTGCTGTACCAATTCCCACATTATGTGTTATAACATGGCTGAACTATCGTCAGTTCAGTTTAACACCTTGTCACTCATTCACCATTTTGTCTTTCAGCTGGATTGTGGAAGACTGGAGATGGAGGCTGGGCATGTAAGTTACATCTGTTGCCATAGTTACGCTAAATATTGCTCACTGTATCAATATGTGATTCCTGTTTAGAATTGGTTCTCAGTACCCTGTGTTTTTTATAGGTCTGCAACTATTCAGTTCGATTCATCAAAAATCGAATCTGACACCTTAGTTTCAATTCTCAACAACCATTATCACAATTTTGATTCTATATGAAATATTTCCACACAAACCGAATGTAATTTTGACTCCAAGTCAAGCAGTTTTGAGCACTGAAATAAGGCGAAACATTACTGGTTCACGCTGGGCTTATTATCCAATGAGAATTGTTGTTAGTAGACATGCCAAGTTGATGATGGATTTCATGCTTAAAAAGCTGACTCTGAGATGTTTGGAACCAGGTTAACTGGGTTCGTGTTTAATGTAAACAGGGTGACCTCATGAAAATGTGGATTTTCATTTCCAAGTGAAGCTGAAGATAATTACTTTCTTTAACAATATGCACACTGTTTTGTGCCTATTTCAACAGATTTCTATGGCATTTGGCCTTTTTCAAACCGTTTCATACAAATACTCGCAAGTTTGTGAGTTTTATAGTGTTCAATGTTCCATAAACTTTAAAGATTTTAGTTGTGTTACACAATTCACAATTAAACTATCGCAGTTAATTGCCATGAACCTAGGTTGTTATGGACAGTTTATAACTATTTATGACTTCATTCACTGAGTTTGCACTTCATCAAAATAAGGCAGGGCACAAAATGTTTAAAAAATGAGTCATTTTCTGACTGAATTTTAACAAAGGGTTATGGATAAAGACATGAAAACTTTACAAAATCAAGAGGTCATCCTGACCTATGAAAGGGCTTGTTGGTTAAAATTTCTGTCAGTGGAAAGTTTTGCTCACTCAATGTTGTCAGGACAGAGTTATGTCCCTTACCTAATGTCTCCCACCCTGTCTGATGACTGTGATATGCTGTTTTTAATTCTTTGCTGTGAGAGTTTTGAGCCTCAACACTTATTAGAAGATTTACCTGACACAACTTGTGTTTGAGTTTAGACTCAATGTCAAAATGAATATTGTTTGGGCATTCATTCCTTGACTTACATTATACCCTGATGAAGATCCTAGACCGAAGGGGTCTTCATAATCCCTCTCATCCAAAGAGGTGAGGTGAGGTAAAATTGGGTTTAACGTCATACTCGAGAATATTTCGCTCATATGACAATCTGCGTGTGTGTGTGTGTATGTGTATGTGCGGCTGCTTGTACTAGCCCAGACAGAAGCTGGTTTTATAGTGCTAGCCCACTGAGATACCATGCCGTAGTGAAGCATGAATACCCCTCTCAGACACATTATACTGACTCCGAGCCAACCAATCCTTGTTGTACTCTTTAATGCCAGGCGCCAGGCAGGGACCAACAAGTACCATATATTCACGTCTTTTAGTATGACGCGGTCAGGGATCGAACCTGCGACCTTCCGCTCTCCCATCCAAAGAGGTGGTTAGCTGAATTGGTTAATGCATACCATGGTATTCCTGATGTTCATAATGTTAATCACTGGATTATCTGGTCAAGAAACTTACCTCTGTGGCTAGTGGGGTAGCCTAGTGGTTAAAGCATTCACTTGTCATACTGCAGACCTGGATCAATTCCCACTTTGGTACAAAATGTAAAGGTATTTTCTAGTGTCCCCAGCGTGATGTAGCTTAAATAGGGACTTAAAACCAAACTCACCTGTCACAACTCTGGAGGGGCTGTGGGTTAGCCTAGTGGTTAAAGCGTTCCCTCATCACATTGAAGACCCGGGTTCGATTCCCCACATGGGTACAATGTGTGAAGCCTATTTCTGGTTTGATATTGGTGGAATATTGCTCAGAAAGCTGGAATACAGCTAAGTGCAGTGTTTACATGTAAAACAAAGGCTGTACAAACTAGATTACAATGGTATTTTTACCCTGTGTTTCAGCTGGTACGGCCCTCTGTTCATCATCATTGCCTTGCTGTTTGTTGCCTATATCTATATCTCCGTCATGCTCCACAGGAAGGTAGGTACCGACCAGCTCCTTCAGTGATACCAACCCTATTCGGGATTCTGTGTTGTAACATATAGGAGACGACCATACTGATTTGGTAGTCAGACTGTGACTTGGTTGATACTGTGTCATCGTAACCTGATGCTATGGATCTTTGTTCACAATATCAACCACTAGGATGTCTGCTTCAGACTTGATGATTTTACAGGTGGTTGTGATGGAATTTAACTGATAAAGCCTGATCTGTGTGAAGACAGGAGAAAGAAGTAGACAAATTCACGATTGAGTGTTGACAATAGAGCTTAGTGAGTGAGTGAGTGAGTGAGGAGTGTATATTACAGTGTTAAAATATTTACCACAGTATTGACATTTCTTGCTACTAATGTTTCAAAATGTTGATGTTATCATTGTGTATATTACAGTGTTAAAATATATACCAAAGTATTGACATTGCTTGCTACTTATGTTTCACAATGTTGATGTTATCATTGTGTATATTACAGTGTTAAAATATATACCAAAGTATTGACATTGCAACCGTTACTTATGTTTCACAATGTTGATGTTATCATTGTGTATATTACAGTGTTAAAATATATACCAAAGTATTGACTTTGCTTGCTACTTATGTTTCACAATGTTGATGTTATCATTGTGTATATTACAGTGTTAAAATATATACCACAGTATTGACATTGCTAGCTAGTAATGTTTCAAAATGTTGATGTTATCATTGTGTATATTACAGTAGTAAAATATATACCACAGTATTGACATTGCTTGCTAGTAATGTTTCAAAATGTTGATGTTATCATTGTGTATATTACAGTAGTAAAATATATACCACAGTATTGACATTGCTTGCTAGTAATGTTTCAAAATGTTGATGTTATCATTGTGTATATTACAGGCCAACACATGGGAAGGAACGTATGACCCTGACACGGAACGAGAACATGTAAGAACATCCTCCCAGGAACAGGAACACAAATTTAATACAAAACATCATATGAACATGACAGTCTTCTTTGGATCAAACAATTATCAGTTTTTCATTTTAAGCATCAAATGTCAAAGGGTCCTTGTCATCGCAAGACTCGCAAAGGTTAAGATTCGTCAAAAGCAACCCTTGTTAGGCTTGCTGACTTGGTTGAAGCATGTCATGGAATTCCATTTGCGCTCGTCAATACTCATGATGTCAATCAGTGGATTGTCTGGTCCAGACACGATTACTTACAGACCACAATCATACAGTCCGGTGCTGATCAACAAGCCAAAAATAAACAAATAAGTTGGACAGAGATCGAGTCCCTATATTCAAATACTATGGACAAAATCCCTATGGACATCTGTATGCACATATATTTTGAAACATATGCCAGTTTGATTACAGTACAGTGAGAAAATAATACTTTTCATTTTTTTTACACATCCATTAATTTGGGTTTGATAGAATCATCATACAAGTTGATAAACTGAACCATATACTTTTGTTATAATTTGCTGCAGATGATATCTATAAGGACTGATAACTCATTAGTAACATATCTATAAGAACCAATTCAAATCAGTGGTTGGGATGTGTATCAGTGTCGGGGTACCTGGTAGTAAACCGATCCAAGCCAGTGTTGTGTAGTCATGTTGTGTAATGAGTGTTGTGTGTTTCAGCAAATGCTCAAGGAGGATATCAAGCCCCTAAGATTCTACCCGTTTGTGTACTTGGCAGTGTCTATCTTTCCACTCATCAACAGGTAAACATCCTTGTCACATCCTCAGCAACAATGCTAAATCACACCTTTTACTGAGTTAATGTGCCAAGAGGTACTGAGTTAATGTGTCACACGGTACCCTTGTACTGTGTCATACCCTTGTTAACAGGTACTTACTTTTGTTTGATACCCTTGTAAAACACAGTACTGTGTCATACCCTTGTTAACCCTTGTTAACAGGTACTTACTTTTGTTTGATACCCTTGTAGTGTATACCCTTGTTAACAGGTACTTACAGTACTGTGTCATACCCTTGTTAACAGGTACACACTTTGTTTTGCATCATACCCTTGTTAACTTTTGTTTGATACACAGTACAGTATTGTGTCATACCCTTTGTACTGTGTCATACCCTTGTTAACAGGTACTTACTTTTGTTTGATACCCTTGTAAACAAGTATACAGTATTGTCACACCGGTACCCTTGTACTGTGACATACCCTTGTTAAGAAGTAAACATAATTGTACCATGTCCTTTTTAAGAAGTACACAGGCAAGTCCAGGTCTTCATAATTAGCTAATGATCACTATATTTAAATATAGCTGCCCAAATCAAACTCACTTGGCCGATTGATAGCCTGTAGTGTGATAGCATTAGCAGTAAAATTGATAATGACACATATAGCAATGTGCCATGACTGTCATGCTGATGTGTTTGTGACTTGTGTTGCAGGATTCAAAATGCTATATCTCCCCACAACCATGTATTTGCCCTGGTGCTGTTGGCTTCCATATCAGCTCCCCTACATGGTAAGTAGTGCTGGAATAATCGGTCGATAGTTCCATCTCGATTATGTTGGATAATTTTAAGAAGAGCGCCAACTTTTTGTTTAGAGGTATGCTATAAATATGTATGTAAGAATTATCTCCCTTTGGCCACCATGTGCATCATGAAGGAAAACAAGTTGCTGAAAAGTTTATGTTAGAAAACCACTCTGTGAGTGATACAAACACAAAGTGATCGCGGATAACTCAAACTCTAAATCAAAGTGAACGAATCTCGTACTTCCTGTGTTTTGCGCTGCGCATTTATCAATGGGAGGCAATTACTAACTTATGGATAGTCACACATACTCTCGATGCATCGGAGACTCAACAATTGCAATCCATCGATAGTTTGATGCATCATTACAGCCCTACCACTGGTACCAGTAATGCTGTCAGTAGCTATGGAAAAAGCTCAAAGAATGGCCAATTTTGGATCTTGAGTACAAAACTTTTGGCTTTTTCCATGACTACTGTCTGGCATTACAGGCAAACCCTGGAAATGAAGTGTTCAGCCCATTTCTTTCACCACATCTCTATAGTCTAATGGGGTAGTGGGGTAGCCCAGTGGTTAAAGCATTCGCTTAATTGTCACGCCAAAGTTTTGTGTTCGATTCCCCACATGAGGACTATGTGTAAAGCCCATTTCTGGTGTCCCCTGTCGATATATTGCTGGACATTTGCTAAAAGCTGGATAAAACTAATCACACACACTTACTGTGGTCACATGGACAGTGAGTCTGCCTGATGAGCTGAAAGCTTGAATTTTGAGCACATTGCCATGTTGTCCCAAAAGACATTAAAAGATGGAACTTGTAGCTGCTCAGACTAGTATGAGCAACCACACATACACATGCATGCACGCCATTATATGAGTGAAATGATTTTAAACATGACATTAAACCCAGTGTATGAAATAAGCCAAAAACCCAGCCAGACATCAGGGCTGGTAACATTTTGATCTCTCCAGCCCAAAATGGATCTAACCAGACCAGACCAGACCATCCAAGAAATTGCAATTTTTAGATACAATGAATATTTTAATGAACCTGAGACATGTATTAACTGTCGATCAGTCTATTCACAAGATTCATTTTCAAAGAAATCCAACTCGAACTCTGCGCATCGACAGCTTTCAAACAGTGATTGACAACTAATGTCAAGCCTAAATGTAACACTCAATTTGAAACATAGATCTTAAGATATGGTGAATTTACTCAGATGTATGGAACATTTGTACCAGACTAGATGACTAGCTGTAAATTTAGACCGTCTCGGGCAGTCGGATGGGCCTTATTTCATACACTGTTAAACCCCATTTCCACTCTGAGAGAGATCTGAGTGCGAAGTCTGATTGTGATGGTCATTTTGTCGTGTTTCTGTTGCAGGTGCTCTAAATGCTATAGTGTTCGGTATGGACAAAGAAACGTTACACAAGTTGAAACCTTCACAAATACGAGTGAGTAATGTTTGAAACATGAAGATATTTCATGATCTCTCAAACACAAGAAAATTTCTGAAAGTCAATTGATGTGTCACTGTTGTGTTGACGTACCCTCCATGGAGACCCAGGATACATTTTCTCTGTCTCCATCTTAGCGCTAAGTCCATCATAGATTTCACATCTTAACATTGACTTATGAGAATCATAGGGCTAGGATCCCATTGTGGGAGAGACCCAGTACAGTATTGCTTATATTCTGAACAGTAATCGATTCCCTAAATGGTTGGGTGTGTAGCCATTTGTGGTGTACACCCATGTTCGATTGCCCTAAATGGTTACAATGTGTGAAGCCCATTTCTGGTGTCCTACGCTGTGATATTGCAGGAATATTGCCTAAAAGCGGCGTAAACCTAAACTCACTCGATCAACACAAGGGCTCAGTGACATCACATGTGTTGGTCATAATATCAATGACTGATTTGTATGGGGAAATTATTTACATCCTGTTGTATTTTAGCTGGAATAACACTAACTGTGACTGAAAAGAATTAACAGAGACTTTTTGTGACAAGAAGGTATGAAGACAAGATTCCACTTACTCTTTTGGCCAAAATACAACTGTATTCTGTTTGAAGGAGATTATGAAATATTCCCCGTATTTATCTCATGACAGTTTGTAAAATATATTAATAAAAGCATTATTTCCTCCTTTTATATATAATATTCAGCAGGTCATCTGATTGTGTTTCTGAGATAAGGAATGGAACAATTGAACAATTTGTGCTCATGTTACAAACACAATTCTTTGATTTAATACTATTTTGTTTATACTGTTGTTCAGGATAATCTGCCTCCATTATATATAACTCAAAACATTTAAAACACACACAGTATTGGAAGGCTGGGCATAGTATTTTCTTGAACTTCTCTGCTCTGTATCTGAAGTGCTCTGTTACAACAAATGAGTCAACTGTAAATGAAGTTGTAAATCATATTGAACACAAGTCAATCAGTCATTCACTCACTCACGCATTCACTCATTCATTCACTCATTCATTCACTCAATCACTCAGTGTCTCAGTCATTCACACACTCATCAAGTCACTCATTCAATTGTTCTGTTTACAGCATAGTATTGTTACAATAACAAGCCTTTTCTCCATATTCCTTGCAATAACAATGATACTAATTGTAAAACAGGTATTGCTCTTGCATGTTCACCTGCTTTGACAACAATATTTGGCTCCATATTGGAATAAAGTCTCAAATTTCAAGAATTCGAGTTAAACATTTCCCAGTTCATGCTCTTGTAGTTGTAAGATCTTATGGCTTTCTGAGGTGACTTTTCCTTTACGAATGACAGGACCAGTAGAGAAATAGGCATTATTGTTCAGTTTAGCACTGCTTTGACCTGTTACAATTCAATATCTAAATTTGAAGAAATGTATGAAAAATTGAACCAAAATATATTTTGATGTTTTACACGATAAAGAACTTTCACAATTTTCCTACCATGTGGAATCTTAGATAAATCTGTATAAAGACTTTAAAGTTAAATAGACTTTCTGACCAATGTACAGTGATTTGAAAATGGTTGATACTACATGCTATAGGTTCGAGAATGCTCTGCAGAAATTTACTACTAAACTAGCAGTCCAGAGGACCCTTAATTAATTTCAAGGATCCTTACAGGAAATATGAGGGTCCAATAAAGGAATGAACTAGCACTCTGTAATTATCATAGTCTGTAATTATTACATATGTAAAGGGACTTGATAGAAATAATCCAAGATTGGTCGCAGTGACTAAACGACCAAGCAATCGATCATGTTTTCTCATAATCGAACACAAACAATTCTGAAATACTTGTTTTCATTAACAGTATTTATCACAAGGTTGGTTTTGTCTGTTACATTTCATAAGCACTACAAGCTCATTCCAAGTCAAGATTGAATTTATCTTAAAGACACCAAGAAATTTATGTTCCTAACATACTAGTCATCCTTTAAAGATGTGAAATTTTGCCCCCAAAACCCCCAAAGAACTACATGTTTTTTTCCTTATATGTTTGTTCATTAACAAATTTCATAAATGATGCTAACCAATTAGTTTTCGATGATTGATCGGTTGTAATGAACCAATCATCAATTATGAGATTTTAACCAATTCCCAACACTAGTTGATAGAGCTTGTCAAGAATGTGATACACAAAAACAAAAATACTGTAGGTCCCTCAGAGCATACCACCGGTATATATTTTCTCTGCATCTTTTCTATATATTTATTTGTATAGGAGATATTTTTCTGTATCATGTAACACTATGCCTTTATGTTTATGGTTAACCTGATATATGATGCCAGGGTTTTGTCAGGTTGCAGGCGTGTTGGTAATAAAAACATGTTTAATTGCCATGGCCCTCACAGCATTGATATGAAACTGTTATTACACACACAGAGCTGCCTGTGATATCTCCAGTTTCACTGATTCATTTACAATTATATACGTTTACAAAATATAACATTAGGTGTATTTAGTTCTAGTTTTAGTGACCCGTGAAGGTCCTGGTTAGAATATTGATCTTCACTAACCCATGCTTGTCGTAAGAGGCGACTTACGGGATCGGGTGGTCAGGCTCACTGACTTGGTTGACACATGTCATCGGTTCCCAATTGAGCAGACTGATGCATCAATATCAGATTCTGATGCATTTGATAGCTGGAATATAAGCTTTAATTTAAGGTTGTCATTAGACTGACATCTAGTCTCTGAAATGAACATATTTACCAAAAATCAGTTTCTAAAATATATTTATAAAATAAAAAAAGAATCCAAGAGACTTCCTTCATTTTCAGACTGTGGCAATCTAGACTTGCCACATATTGTAGACACACATCATCTGTATTATGTACATCTGTTTCAGGGTCTGTATAACAGACTAGGTTGGCATCTCTTTGTCTTGGTGTATTTTTCCTTATCCTGACTCATGCTCTTTTGCTTGTCTCCTTCCTCTTGCGAACATAGTGGAACACTTGTATCTCCCTAATTGAAGTTCCCTTCAATGTAAAATCACTAATTAGTACACCACGAGTTACCTCCCTTCCACAAAGCTAGCGGGAGCGAGGGCCACCTCTACCCATGTGCCTCCTCTCTCTCCTTCTTAGCCCAGTGAGCTGGGCGTGAGGAGCCTGTGTCTCCGACACACTATATCCTTTGATTATATTTAGTTAGTTACCTCGTATAGAGATCTATAGAGGTTTAGCTAGTATCTTTCAACAATTATATATTGATATTTAGTCGTGTTTCTACTGTTTATGCGGGACGCCGTGCTGTTGCAGTGGATTACGTTGATAAAAATTCTGTACTGTTGCACATTACGTTTTTATTCTGCTGCTGATCCGCATTTAATATGCCCTAGCTGTACTGCGCCATGTTTCATGTGATTCACGTTGCAGTTGCGATACTAATTTATCAATTCTACCTTTAATAAATAATTACTTTGCGTTTGAGGCAGCGCAGCAGATAGGTCACGTATGCAGAGTCTAGCATGACTGATACACCTGAACCCCTCGCCAGTCTACTGCTGTTGGTCGACCCCCCTCCCGTCTGGGTTTCCGCTAGAATGGTGGAGAGGCGTGGGACGTAGTCCGCCGCCTCCAAGAAGCGTCCTGCTTCCCCAGACATCCCTTCGTCGCACTGAGGGGTATTCAACGAAGTCTACTAGAACTTTCTCAGCCGAGATTGTTCTCATCGCAGATTTGGGCCTGTATGATGATCAGCCGATCATCATTCCTGATGTACATCAAAGAATGACTGATGTCGGCAACAGTGATGTCAGCGCAGATCAACATTCGATGATCTTCCTGAGGGTCCCGTCGCTACCAACACTCAGCGCAGACCGCACCCCAGGGCAGCGTCGACCTCTGAGGGAATTCAACGAAGTCTACTAGGACTTTCTCAACCGAGATTGTTCCAGCCGCTGAACTTGGCCTCTACGATGATCAGCCGATCATCATCCTCGACGTATGAGACAAGTAGCGACCGGTGACAGCTACAATGACATCAGCAGAGATCGTCATGCAGCCTGATGTCTCTACACTGATGTCAGACGACTTACCTGAGGGGCCCCACCACTAACAGCGCAGAGATGGCACCGACTACGCCGTCGCAGACCATCCCAGACGAGCTACTACGGCAAATCATGGTCGTGATGGAGGTCACTACAGACTGGAGAAGCAGCCAGCCCAGAGTACGAGCCTTCGCGAAGGCTCCAACTTAGAACAACACTCTAGAGGCACCTCCAGTCAGCGTAGCAGCCAAGACGATGCAGCCTTCGCGAAGGAAGTCGCAGACCACCTTGACGAAGGACCCAGATGTACAGCCTTCGCGAAGGCCTTCGCGAAGGCGGGATAGATCATCACATTCCTCGGCTTCATCCTTAGATGCAGACTCAGCCACCAGACCTCACGGAAGCCTTCGCGAAGCTCAAATCGCCGTTCCCCAGCACCGAACGCAGAGGAAGCTTCGCGAAGGCGTTCGTGAAACGTTCGTGAAGGCGTTCGCGAAGGCATTCGCGAAGGAAGGAAGGACACCCGAATATAGATCGTCATTTAACAGAGTCAAGGGACTACTCAAAGAGCTTCGCGAAGCTGTCAATAGTCTCCGATCTCCTCGTACATCACCACATCGATCGCCTCACAGGTTACCACACAAGTCTGCACACAAGTCTACATCACCTTCCTAGAGTGGCGGTACGACGCAGACATACCTGATGAAGGAAGACGACGCAGATGCTATCACCCTACCTCCGATCGACCCGATTGCTGCGGTAGCACAGAATCTAGACATAGCATCCCATAAAGCCACAAAAGTTCAGACACCATAATTGCCGAACTTTCACGCCTAGAAGTTTTCCACGCACAACATGGACCCCTTCTTCAAGGCTTAAGACATCGATGAAAACTACAAGTTGATCATCGATATCAACAATAAGAACTACAATCGTAAATTGGTTCAG